TAATGGATACCGTATCAGTATATAATACCAGTTATCAGTTTGTGGATAATAAGGTATTTAGTCATCATTATACATATGCTATAACTGGAGTTAATGAATTAGGAGAAGGAATATCTAATAATGAAACATTCTCATACCTAAGAGGTAGACACACACTATTTTAATAGCTCTTTTGCAATGCCATTTAATCTTACATGTAGTTCCAAAATCAACTGCAGAAAACACATCCATTGACATACTTTTCTCTACAGAAGATGTGACAATAGTCCAGTTCACTATTCCAGTATATAAAGTCACTATTATGCTAAATACTTTATTCATATTATTAATTTTATAGATTATACTGGAATGTGCTAATGAAGACCTTGAACACCTTACAGTTACAGTAATATGTAACGAGACTGATATTTATTACAGTGTAACATATCTAGTGAAACATATGAATGCTATAACAGGATTTGTATCAATGCCACTGTATCAAGAGTGCAACATCACTATTGTATTCGGTAATGGTGCTGGTAGTAGTGAACCATTTGTACTACCACTTGGTGAGTTATGTGCATGTGTTGACAGTGCATACTATGAATAATTAGTACATGCTATGAATTAGATAGTACATGCTATGAATTGTTACTTAATAGATGCATATCCTGATGATACAGCTAATTTCACTACTACAACTGCTCCTCCTCCACCTACTAATACTACTACCCAGTCATCCTCTACTGTCACAACTGTTTCAGCAGGTCTTATTGTTAATGCTGGTTAGTTGCATTGAATATTATTATGTACTATTTGTATGTTATAGTTATCCTGACATCATTGGGTGTTGTCATATTATCATTGATGATGTGTCTCATTGTATCAGTTTGTTCTGCCATTATCTATAAAAGGAAATTACATAGTAAGTATTTATAGTGTGTTGTGTGTGTATGCGTGCACATATGTGCTTATATTAATAACAGGAGCTACCTCATTACAAAAACAGGAAGCATCTACTGCAACTAATGAAGCACACCAGATTAAAAGTTTAATGGTTTATAGTAATCAAGCTTATGGAGAAATAGAAAGAAACAGAGGAGAATCAATCAATAATCCAGTTTATGGCGAAATAGAAGGAAACCAAGGTGAATTAATCAATAATCCAGCTTATGAAGAAATAGAAGGAAACAGAGGAGAATTATTAATCATTAATCCAGTTTATGGAGAAATAGAAGGACACAGTGGAGAATTAATCAATAATCCAGCTTATATGGAAATAGAAGAAAACAGAGGAGAATTAGTCAATAATCCAGCTTATGGAGAAATGAACTACTTGTGAAAGTAACAGTATAATCTACATTGACTACATTGTACAAGTTAAACACTAAAGTCATTTTACTTTCAGCTTTACTGTTTACCAAATATAACATTTATAGTTTTATTTACCTTGTAGTTTTGAAAGAATCAAACACACATTTACTTACTAGTTTTAACATCGACAAGAGAGATTAGTGATGTTGAAGTTTTGACTGGTACAAACAATGAATAGATGTGGCTGGCTGCATTGCTCATGCAGTGTTGCAAACTACCATTATCACACTAAGTTATATTTAAGTTTTACTCAAAACTCTTCCAAGTCAAAACTCTCTAAAACACACTAAATAAATTAGTCTAGAAGGTTGCAAAACAATCAAGATTAAATGCAAACATGTAGATAGCTATAAAATTGTTCTATCAGCATCACTCCTAAATATGCACATCTAGAGTCTACACAAATATGACTAAAATCAAATCAGTATTGCTATGCATAAACTTATGTTATACCTGTCTTTCATTTTCAT